AGCATATTGTACTCACTAGTTTAATTAAACCGGACACCTGCAGTTAATCTTTATCTAAAACCACTGAAGACGCTTCTTTCAAAAAGATCACCTACCTGATCTTGGTTTCTGTTTGCAGATTTGTCCCCATCTCAGAAGGAGGAGGCAAAATGTCTCAATTTTGCAGGCTGCCTTGTTAAAGCAAAGCTATCTTAGCTGTTTCATATCATTTCGGTTTTTAAATCCAGTAGGAATCTTAGGTGTTTTTTTCCTGTTTGCTTTATGACCTTTCAGCTGTATGAACTTTTTTAGCTTTTTTTTTTTTTATCGTTGGTAGTTGACAAAATGCTTGTAAAAAATACAACTTGGAAACACTCATTTGGGGGTTGTTGGTGTTTAGTTTGGTTGGTTTTGGGGTGTGTGTGTGTCTTTGGTTGTTGGTTTTACTTTGTTAGTTTTCATGTACTGAGATTTGGCTCTGTATTCTACTAAGTTCCTTTCTTGTGTCATCAAAACAGTGGATGTTTGAAAAGTGGTATAGTTAGGACCTAATTCTTCTGAAATTTATTTTGCACAACTAATGTTATTAATATTAAGCAAAGTAAATCTAAGACATATTTACAATATATGAATATGATTTTTTTTTAAAGATGTGTTTAGGGCCAAATGGAGAGATTCCAGAACTCAGATTTGTATTTTGTGGCTAGGGGTTTAAATTTTCTTCAACATTGTCATATAAGGATGTGGACAGGAAACAGCGTTCCAATTCAGCTGCTAATAAAACATCTAAATCTGGTAATTTTGGAGTATGCATAAAACAGCTCAGTCAGGAGAGGGAAACTTTTAAGCTGATAACTTCCTGTTACTTCCTGCCTTTCCCTGATGGACTTGCACTATCAAAAGCTTTGCCAGGAAACAGAGTGTATTTGCAAAGCCTGAGTAGAAAGGATTCATTGATGACTTTACCAGCAACACCATTTTGAAAACGTTATTGTGTATACATTCATGTGCAAAAGCAAACGAAGAAGCTGAAGTGCTGGGGTTAAACCCCCAGCCCTGAGTGAGAGTTGGCATATGGATGATGTCCACAACCAGGCCCCTCCTCCTTGCTTTTCACCCAAGGTCTGGCCAGCCTTGGGTGGGAACCAATTAGGAGATCACCACCAGGTGCCCCAACCTTCCACATTAACTTGGAGGTGGGGCAAGAAGCCACCTCTATAAGAATTGACTCTGCTGGTGGTGTAGTGGGGTGATCAGCCTGTACAGTGCATGTGATATGTGGAGTTCTGGCTATTGAGAGGGCTCCCCAACTCTTCATAGCAAGTGGAGCTCCCAGGATGATGGGGCAAGATGATTGGACTGATCACCTGGGTCCCTGCATTTCCCATGGCATGGTTCCAGAGTCAGCTCTCTCCCTTCTGCACACCCTGTGCTGTGAGTGAATGTATTGGCTTATTCCTCTCTCCAGTGGTCTGGCATGTTGGTCTGTTGGTATATGACTTAAGAGTGGAGGGAGGGCTTTGGCTGCTGGTTTGCCTGCTGATGATAATATCCTTCTTAGTTGGTCAAGTGGTCAGCAGAAGGGCACCTTCATCAGAAAATTTATGATGTGTTTGTAGGTTATGGTGTTCATTTAACAGCAGCATTAGATTTTTGGGTGTGTAAACCTAATGAAAATAGCAAAAATGAAAACTGTGTCATTTAGGTTGACACAGTTAGCAAAAGTACCCTTAAGATTACCAGCTTGCATAGTTTCTAAGAAATTTCATACTGCAATGTAACAGAAAACACACTTTATTAATTCCATCACTTGAGAACTTGAGGGAGGATCTGCTGTGAATTAAGTGACTGTTGTTCACACAAACTAAGCTGCCAACCTTTTTCCACCTCTGAGATGGACTTCTGGCAAATAACCTTAAGGCAGCCAGAAATCCAAAGCTAAACTCTACCATCTGAATGTTTTTTTTTCTGTTGTATGGTGTACTTAAAACAACAGTATTAAGTAGGTGAGTAGTCAGCTTTTGCTTTTAAAAAATAGATTGACAGAGCAGCTATGCAGAGCAATCATGTTTGCCATATGCCAAGTGCTGGCTTGATGGATTTCACTCTCCTGCGATTGTGAGCAAACTACATTTTGTTTTTCCTGTTCAAACAACAGGTATTGTTCTGATTAAACTCTGCTGCTCTGTAGATAGTACTGTGATGGCATGTGTAGAGGTGTGCATGCATCAGCAAGATGATCTTACAGGGCGTAATTCATCAACCCTGTTCTGTTTAATATCTTTATCAGTTATCTGGATGAGGAGATTGAGTGAACCCTCAGTAAGTTTGTGGGCAATACGAAGCTGGGCAGGAGTGTAGATAAGCATGAGGATGGGAACGCTCTTCACAGGGATCTGGGCAGGCTGGACCGATGGGACAGGGCTGTGAGGTTCAATGTGTCCAAAGGCCAGGTGTGCACTTGGGTCACAAAAACCTCATGGAGTACTACTCATGGAGGCTTGGGGACTAGTGCCTGGAAAGGTGCCCAGAGGGAGAGAACTTACAGGTGTTGGTTGACAGCCACCTGAACATGAGCCAGCAGTGTATACAGGTGGCCAAGAAGGCCAACAGCATCCTGGCTTATATCAGAAATAGTGTGTCCAGCAGGACTAGGGAAGTGATCATTGCCCTGTACTAGGCACTGGTGAGACTGCACCTCCAGTGCTGTGTTCAGCTTTGGGCCCCTCGCTACAAGAAAGACACTGAGGTGCTGGAGTGTGTCCAGAGAAGGTCAACAAAGCTGGTGAAGGGCCTAGAGAAAAAGTCTTAGGAGGAGTGGCTGAAGGAACTGGGGTTGTTTAGCCTGGAGAAAAGAAGGCTCAGGAGGAACCTTGTCACCCTCTACAACTACCTGGAAGAAGGTTGTAGTGAGGTGGATGCCAGTCTCCTCTCCCAAGTAACAAGTGATAGGATAAGAGGAAATGGCCTCTAGTTGCACCAGGGAAATTTTAGATTGGATATTAGGAAAAATTTCTTCACAGAAAGGGTTGTCAAGCACTGGAACAGGCTGCCCAGGGAAGTGGTGGAGTCACCATCCCTGGAGGTATTGAGGTGTAGATGAGGTGCTGAGTGACGCAGTTTAGTGATGGGCTTAGTGGTGTTGAATTAATGGTTAGACTTGATGATCTTAGAGTTCTTTTCCAACCAAAATGATTCTAAGAGTATGAATCTGGAGTCATTTGATGAGCCTGGAGTTTTGGCCTATCTTGGATCTTTACAGGCTCAAGCACTGGCCGTGGTGTTGGAGTTGCTAGAGGAAGCATGGTGAGGAGATCTCCTTGTGTAAAGGAGGCTGCAGTTAGTTTATGTAGACCTGTAAGATGGACTGAGGGCCTATTTTAAGAAGTTAGGGACAGACTCTTTTTTGTAGGTTCAGTTTAGCTGATGGGCTACTCAGAAAAAGGAATGCTTACAGAAGTGCTTACTTGATAGTGCCTTTTTCATTCAAGTACTAGCAGTTTAAGCAGCACAGTTTCTCCTTTGATTGATGAGCAAGTGCAGTCCTGGTACTGCTCTGAATGGATTAGTATGTCTGTTCCAAATTACTGATTTCAAATGTGATACATGTCACTGGTCCTTCTCATGTCACTACTGGGCTCCATTTATTTCCACAGGATTTTGGGGAAGGCGAGGTAAACTTCCTTTTGCATGGAATTAGTACCTTGATAAAGAAGTTTGGAAGTTCAGAAGTTTTGATGTCACCTTCACAAGAAACCCTGAAGTTTGTTTTGTTTTGTTTTTTTTTAAAAACTGGTTGTTCCATCGTGTCTTTACAAAGGTGTCTAAGTTAGAGAATCCTCTTGCACAATTTACCATTGGATGCAAATGCTGACACTATAGTCAGTGACTAGAGAGAAACTGGACACCTGCACCACCAGGTGTGGCTGCCTCATAGTTTTTTGAGACATTTCTCTTGAGCTACATAAAGCTATGTTTTCATTGGTGTAGGAGGGTTCTTTTTCAATACGATAGTTCAGTAGGAGCCTGGCAATCCAGTTGATCACAGGACTAAACAGGGCTTTGTATTCAACGTAGTAAACTCAGTTAACCTTCACTATGTTGAAGAGGCATAGACTGTGAAATATTCTTAATGTGGCTTCTGATTTTGGTGGTAGTTTGGGGGCGGCTGGGAACGTTTTGTCGTCTTTTATTTCTTCTTGCCCACAGGTTTTAGTTTTAGACTCTTTATACTGAGTCATTCTTAGTTACTGAAATGGCAGATTAGTGCTGGACATTAGTTGTATTTGGTTTATGTGGCAAGGTTTTGGTAGAGGGCAGGACTGCAGGAGTGGCTTCTGTGAGATTAGGCCAGGGCTGCCCCTTGTCAGACAGAGCCAATACCAGCTGGCTCCAAAATGGATCCACCACTGCCCGAAGCTGAGCCTGTCAGTGGTGCTGGTAGCACCTCTGTGATAAACTGTTTAAGAAAGGACCAAGAATGCTGCACAACAATTGTAAGAGAAGAACAAGAATGTGAGAAAAACAGCTCTTCAGACACCATGGTCAGTGAAGAAGGAGGGGCAAGAGGTGCTCCAGAGTTCTCTGCCCCATGAGCAGAGATTCCCCTGCAGCTCATAGAGAAGACTGAGGTGAAACAGGTTGTCCTCCTGCAGCCTGTGGTTGTCTGTACTGGACCAGATATTCACCTTGATTCATTTAGACACCTTTTTAGCTGGAATAATTTTAATTATAAAAAACCCTTTCATTTTCTTTTAATTCACAGTGGAAATAAACAGATAGTGCTGCTTGGTTTTGATCTCCTGAAATATCAGCAGACTCTACTTAGGTTATTTGTGTTAGTGATGAGTGTGGGCTCTGGATGACTTCTCATATTCTGTACATGTCTGTTCACTCAACTAACTAGCATCAGTTTATTTTTTCCTAGGGGGTTAGAGACTGACTTTTCAAGCTGGATTTTTTTGTTGTTGTTGTTGTCCCACAGGATGAATTGTCTTTGATTTTTCTGTAACTTCTCACAGGTATCAGATGATGGTCGATATGTGTTGCTGTCTATTCGAGAGGGTTGTGATCCAGTGAATAGATTGTGGTACTGTGATCTACAGACAGAGCCTCAGGGTATATCAGGTATGTGTTTTCTTGCTTTCTAAGTTTTTCTTCATTTTAAGACAGTATAAGACTAGAAATACTTTATGTAAAGATGTGTATTGCTTAACCTCCTTTCTTTTTTTCTATTGAAGAGATTACAAGAAACTACAAGATTACTGCTTCTGCTAGTTTTCTGTTTTCTGTTAGGCATCAGTAGTTAGAAAACTCTATTCTTGGTTCTGTAGTTTGTTTAAAACATCACAACGAAAAATGGAGATAATGTAAGCAAAACTTACCAGTGGATGTTGCATTTCTTTCTACACCACTAGTACTTTTCCATATTTAATTTTCTTTTACATTTTAAAAATTCATGTGTCTGCCTTCAAGCACTAATCTCCCTGTTTTTTGAAAAAAGGACCTGGTTTATAGGTAACTTTTTCCCCCCTCCATATAGTACTAGGAAACAAACAGAAATCCTCTAATATTTTAGTGATATAACTTTGCTTTGTAACATTATTACAGTAGAATTATCTAGTCGTATTTCAAATACAAGTTTACAAAATGCTCCCTCCTTGCCTTCTAGTTGGATTAGCCTTTGACTTCAGTGTATTTGGCTTTTTAGCTTTAATATCCTGGACTGAAAGTATGGTATTTTGCTCCACGTGGCTGCTGTTGATGGTTTTTTACAGATGAGTGGTTTTGTATTTCAAGAGTATTGGATTATTGAAGCCTGTTCCTAAATATGTGCTTTGCATAGAACACAGCTTTTTATTTTTTCCTTTTCAGCTTCTGTCCTCAAAAACTTCAGGAACAGAATAAATACTGGAGTAGCTATTTGTTGAATACTAGTTCTTAAGAAGCCTGTTCTTTTGTCCGTAAACAGGAATATTTGAACCTTTATGAGTATGATTAGAACTGGTAGGAGCTCTGCAGTATGGGACGTGTAGTTCTGCTTCTCCTTGCTTTCATTACACAGCGCGGCTCTGTGGTCTTCCCTTAGTTCCTCAATGAATCTTAATACAATATTTTTAATATTGGTAAGTTAAGTATTACTGACAATAGTCAACAGTTTTATACTCCTTTCTGGGGGATTATTAGTTTTGGTTTGTGGGTATGTCACTTTCTTCTTTTATAAAGGGCATTCGTTAATTACTTCTAAATTTGTCTCAAACAACTGAGTAGTTTTTTAATGTCCTCTTGAATGTAAAAAATGGCAGGCCTAATCAAAATTATTCCAGATACTTTCCGTGCAACTTTATAATAACCATAAAACTGTGTAGATAAAACTATGTAGTACCGTGAAGCATTTTCATAAATGATAAATTGCATTATCATTCCAGTTGACACTTTCCAGCTAGAGAACATAAAAACCACAGCTCTCCTCCCATATTGACCCAACCATTTATAGATACACTGGACAACCTTGAGAGAATACTAAGACTGACCTGTGAAAGACTGTGGATGAGATAATGAAGCTTCCATTTTGTATCACCTGGCATAAGGTAAACCTACAGTTTAACCTTTCCCAGGCTCAGTAAAAGCTGCTTAAAAACTTTTTTTTTTTTTTTAATCTGAAACAGTTTTTGACTTGCCTTCCTGTTTGTTGTTGGGTTGGAGTTGTTCCATCCCTCCAAATTCTCCCCTTTTGCCTATAAAAGGCAAGATCTAGCTGTAATGATTTGCTTGCACGAATTCTCTATTCTATAAACTTAGGAACTTTCCATATCTGTCTCACTAGGTGGCCAAATGCATTTTTAGTGCAATGATTCTTGTCTTTACCCACATCTTCTTATGTTAGTAAGCATAGACCTAACAGTAAACATCTGGGCTGTTTCCTAGAGTTGATCTTCCATGCAGATGTAAGCACCCTGAACCACTAGGCCTTCAGCCTTTGGTGGCCAGAGGCAGTAAGCCTTGCGAGCAGTAATATATGTAAGCTTAATTCTTTGCTGTATCAATCCAGACCCCAAGAGGTGTAATTCCAACTTGTAATTTTCTGGAACAGCAAGTGTTAAAGAGATTGCTTGTGAAGTGTGGAGAAATTAATGCCCGATTTCATTATTTTAGCTGTTTTAGGCAAGTAAATAAGCAGCTCTAGAATAACGGAGTTTAATGGCAGGTCTGCTTCTTGATTTAAGTCTGAGATGTAACTGTCGCTTTGTACAGACTGTTCAGTAATAAGGTATGTTTAAATGGGTTAAGATTAAGTGATGCTTAGAGAGTTATGTATAAGAGAAACACATTCTTAACAAAACCATGAGATATAAAACTACTTGCTCATGCTATGCTGCCTATACAATGTAGTGTGCAATAGACAGGTCTATGTAAGTATCAAACCAATGCCACTTGTTCTGAAGTGTTAAGAGAATCAAATGTCTTGGAAAAGTATCTGCTTTTAAAACACACGACATTATCCTGTCTTTTAGAACAGACCTTATTTATGAGTAGACCTCTTGCCTTTGGTGACATCTAAGATAGTTCTTGCCATTTTCCTCCTTCAGAACTATAAAATGTTTAATCTGAGCTTGTTTACTTTACTTGTTTACAATTATCTGTTTGTTCAGAAGTCCATTCCAGTATTCAGAATATATCATCTTAGTTTTTCTAAAATATAAAGGAAAAGTAGGATAACTAGTGTTTTTCCAGCATCCTAGGTAGTGCTTGATATAGATAAATAGGTTTTTCAGGTACATTTTTTTTCCTCCTACTTGCTCTTTTAATCCATGTTGTCCAAGAGTACTGTAGTTCTTCAGAAAATTTTATGCTTTAGATCTTTCATGTCTCAAACTTTTTTAGATTGATTCAAAGGACATCAAACACAAAAGTCAGTGAAGCCTTTACCAAACGTAACAGCCAGTAGTATTTTACATGGCATCCTTTACTTATACCATGTATTTCTTTGTGAAGAAATATAACATTAGCAGTTGCTAAGTAGAAGTTAATGGATGATATTGTATTTTGTACAAAGGTTGAGGCAAAACTCTTAATTGCAGAATGACACCTTTCAACAGATGGTTATTAAAACTGGTCTTTTTATAAAGTAATGTTTCAATCATGTAATTGTAACCTTATTTTTTCAAATACTTTGTCCCAATGTAAACACACTACTGTATAGTTTAAAATGCTACATGTAAAGCTGTGAGTCATGGACTTTTCTGTTAGATTTGCAAAAAAGTGCAAAGACCTGATTCTCACCTGTGACTTATATGACATTTTTAACACTACCTGAAAAACCTGTTTAAGGTGTTAAGGAACTTAGGGGCACCCTTCTTGATTTTTTTTTTTTTTCTCTTTTTTCGGTTGCTAGTAGTGCATTCTTTTCCTTTGGCTGGAGGAAAAGGAAGTTCTTGGTGGCTAAAGAATTTTCATTATGAAGAACATGTTCTCATAGCCAAGATATGACTGCTGAAGAGTGCGTTTCTTTTCCTTCTGTTGTACTGAGGTCTTGTGGAGCTAACTGTGGTGCTGTTACCATTTCTTAGAGACGATGGTTGCAATGATAAAGACTGCTTATTTAGCCCTCTTGCTAACAAATGACTGTGAAGAAATCATGAAGTTCAGCATTGAAACCTCAGTGCTAGCTGCCAAAATGCCAGGTGGCTGTCTGTATGAAAACTGGAGGAGAGTCTGAAATGCAGTCCCTGATGGCTATAGATCAATAGTTTATTCCCAATATAGAGAAATGTATCTTTTAATGAGAGAAAAATATCCGTATTTCATGACTTAAGTAATGTGAAATAATTTGATTTTTAAAACATTAGTGCAATTACTTGTTTAGGCCTGTGTATATTTTGATGGTCCAAAAACAAAGAAAATGAGTTCTGAAAAATAAAAACAAATGCTGTTGCTAACACTTGGTACTTCTGAAAAAGAGAAAGAATATCTTGGAGAAGGGAGGTGCTAAGGTGTCTCTTCCATGCTATGAACTATAATAGTCAAAAACTAGAGGAGGAGGAAGTTTCCTCTATCTTTGGATTAGATGTAAATTTGTAGAGGAAGGGGTGAAAATAACATGGTGCATTTTCCTAAAAAACATTCTCTCCTTTTATGCTTGTGGAGAAGCTTATATTAGAAAATTCTGCATAGCAGCTGTTTCAGTTGGAAGGATGTCAGGACAACGTAACAAAATATAACCAAAAAGTCACATCAGTCACAGATTTAAGCATGTCCTGATCAGATCTATATTGAAGAGTTGGTAGTTTAGTCTTACCTAAGATACATCAAATTTGTAGTCACTGCATCTTTTTTGAACATTTACTAGAAGCCCTGGCTAACTTGGGTCTTCTGCTGACTGCTTGCCCAACATAAAATGCTATTATCATTAACGGGCAGACCAGCAGCCAAACTCCTCCCTCCTCTACTACATCACACACCAGAGATCCACTGTGCTGGACAACTGGAGGGAGGAACAAGTCAATGTACTCACTTACTGTGAAGGATGTGCAGAAGGGAGCAACCTGGCCAGGGAACCATGCCATGAGACGTGGAATCAGCCAGACAATCAGTCCAATTATATAGTAGTTTCCCAGATAGAAATTCATTATTTTGCTCTGCTGTCCTGGGATCTTCACTTCCTATGAAGAGCTGGGGAGCCCTTTCGATAACCACACAGCCCATCCACTGAGTAGGCAGGCCTCCCGACCCCACTGCAGGCAGAGTCAGCTCTTATAGAGGTGGCTTCTTGCCCCACTGCCAAGTTAATGTGGAAGGTGAGGGTGCCTGGTGGTGATCTCCTAATCAGTTCCCACCCAAGGCTGGGCAGAGCCTGGGTGGAAACCAATCAGAAAGGTCTTTCTTACCTGGTTGTGGACATCATCCGTATGCCCACCCTCATTCAGGGATGGGGGTTTAACCCCAGCACTTCACTGGGGAGGTCCCAATGGACTGGAGACTGGCCGACGCGGCGCCCATTTACAAGAAGGGCGGGAAGGAGGATCCCAGGAACTACAGACCTGTCAGTCTGACCTCGGTGCCGGGAAAGTTGCGGAGCAGATCATCTTAAGTGCCATAACACAACATTTACAAGGTAACAGGGCAAT